AGGATGATATTTTGCTTATTCTTTGACTGGTGCTTTTATGTATTTTTAAATTTATCACTTACTTGCCTCAGTGTCTTGCTTGATCTTTCAAATAAGAAATATGAAAAAAAATAGGTAATATAAAGACTTAGCTGACTGTGCTGGTCTTTTCTCAGGGTTCCTTAGTTCCATCTAAAGTGGAAAGCATCCTAAAAAGGAGGAAGAAGATAAGTATTTTAGAACAAGAAGCAAAACGTTCTATCTTTAAGGCATTTGTGTATTCTGTGGTTTTCAAATTCTCTTTAAAATATGATAAAATAAATCTCTGGAAAAGGATTTTAACTTGTGCTATAAAAGATGTATTGAGAGTAGCAATACAGTGTTAAGAATTTATTTGCTCAAACAAAGATTTAAAAATCGGAAACTCCAAACAGAAATGGTTCAGGAGCTTTACCAAAAGACACAAAGGGACAATGTAGCTAAGATAGAACAGAAATATAGCGTAGAAAATGTTTGGTACAGAAGGCAGTTGCTTTATTTGTTTTGTTTTGAAAGAAAGCTAATTTTTTAGCTGCTTCTGATTGGTTGAGCTTTAAGTCTGGCTTTCCTTTAATATAGGAATTTACAAGAAATAAATTAAGGTTCACAGGCAAATCAGGCGAAGTCAAGGTCACTTATGGGGCTCATTGGCTTTATCTGCCAAATGATTCTTTATACATGGTCTCCTTTTTAATTTACCTCAACAGATATGACCCAGTCTTGACTGGCAGTTCTTTCAAAAGTACAATTAATAAAATTCGGGGTTGTATGTGACTCCAGTCAGCTTCATGTGCCTGCAGATGACAGACAGTTCTTTGTCAGTCAGCCTTCTTATCTTTGCTGTTTTTCACTGCTTCAATACCTTGCGTTTTTTACAACAGCAGATACTGAAAACATGAGACTTCATGAGAAAAGTCAGAAATTTTGCCTTTGCTTTGAGTGACTTAGTCAAATTGAGAGGATTTATGGGCTGTAAACGTCTCAGTGGGACTTCATCTGTAAATATAACCAAATCCCAAGTCTTTACGGGATTTGGCAGTGATACTCTTGAAATAATCTTGGCATTGAAGGCTGAGTTTAATCAGGTTTTGATACTTAAATACTCATTGTTGTGAAGAAACAGTTGCCAGTTCCAGCTCTGTAAGCCTCTGAGTTTCTAGACTTTTTAGTTATTTTTGTTCCTATTCATAAATTAGGCAATTATTTTCTGAGTTAAATTTTTAAAAATTGTCAAATACAATACTAATATTTTTCAATTAAAATTTTCTTTCCCTGAATTAACAAAACCCTCAAATAGGACCTAAGTTTTAGCTTAATGGTACAAGTGCCTGCTTGGAAAGCATGGGGTCATGAGTTGGATCCCTGGTATCAAAAAAGAAAAAGGTTTAAAAAATCCTCAAATACATGACATGTTTTCCAAGTAATCTTTTGTGACAGTGTACCAAACAGTTTTTTGCACTTCTTTGATTTGATTGCCAGGAACCAATAATATGTCCTCTTGCTCATTAGCAATGAAAAAAATCTCAAGAGTATTAGAAAATATGTCAATTGAAGTATAAATGGAACACAATAAGACTTTGTGGGAAATTGTTAAATATTCTTGAAGGAAAATCCACTTCAATAATTTTAGAATGGAGATGTCATTAAAAAGATAAAAATTAATACAACAATATTTATTTCATTAAAGTAGAAAAATACAGCAAATAGAATAAGGCAAGGTATGCAATAGTAAACATAAGGAATTAACTAAAGATAATATATTTTAAAAGATTAGCTATGTAGCAATTAGCCATTAGTAGAGTGATAAAATTGGACACTCATGGCAAAACAAATCATGAAAGATACAGCAAATGGCAATATTAAATATTGAATGAAGCTATCCATAGGTATTAAAAATAATGACATTTTTACAGAAACTACATAATTATTAGAAATTAACAAATGTCTAGAACATCTGAAGAGAAATAAGCAATGTAGTAGGTCTAAAACAAAATTATAGAATGTGCCAAAAATAAATCACTTATTAAAAATATTAATAGCATTTTTATAATTGCAGAAAGAACTCAAAATGTGATTCTATCAAATACGTAAATTATGAATACTCATTCTATTGATATTACTCACCATAAAATAATCTATTTGCTTACAGCAAAAGTAATTTTTAGGAACACTATTAATCAAAATTAGCACAATTCAAATAATATGTGCAATATTATACCTTTTGTACACAATTTAAAACCATTCAAAGTCATCCTAGTTGTTTAGGGATACCTACTAAAATGCAAAAGATATAAAATAAAACAATATAGCAATTGTTATTACCAAACAAAAGTTAAGGAGGGTTCCAGTCAGGAATGAAGATGACAGGGGATCTCAGAGTTTATAAATTCCACTCTGATGATCAGGAAGTTTTTACATTAGTGAATACTTCCAAACAGAGCATTTAGTCTTAATTAAATACTCTCCGTATGTTATATTCAAAGGAAACCAGAAAAGAAATGTTTCTCAACAAATATGAAGATACAAAATCTTTATACCAAATCTGATAAGTGCAATGTGAAAAATAAAAATGAAAATGTTGATATTCCTTATAAACAGTGAAGCAAATATTTTACCACAATATTGGCAAATCAAATCAAGCAGTTCTAGAGAAGGATAATCACCCTGTTCAAGATAGATTTATCTCAGCGTTGTAAGCTCTCTTAAAAGCTAGAACACTAACCATAATATGATAAAATATCAGGTTGAAAGGCATACGCGGTAGAATAACTCAGTGAAACATAAATAAAAATCAACAACTAGGACAATTGGTTAGCAAAATTTAAGACAAAGGCAAATTTTCACAAATAATCTACAGGCAACTCTCTTTTTTTTTTTTTTTTTTTTTTGTCTTTTTCATTTTTATCGGTACCAGGGATCGAACTCACGACCGCCTGCTAGCAAGGCAGGTGCTTATGCCACTGAGCTAAATCCCCAGCCCCTGGCAACTCTCTTCTTAAAGAACAGAAATATCATGCTTAATAAAGTTGAAATATTACAGTAAGGTTTTTAGAACCAAGGGTAATATGTATAGGAGACTCTGACATCTTCATTCCTGTTGGAACTCTCCTTAATGATTGTTTGATAACTGCTATTTTATTTTATATCTTTTACATTTCAGTGAGTATCTCTAAACACTATGTTAGCTTTGCGTGGTGTTAAACTTCATGTAAAAGACATAATGTTGCACATATTATTTTGCATTCTGCAGCTAGATCATAACACAAGAACAACAGTCGTCTGTATATGTTTAGCATGCAAACTAATATGAAGGTTTCAGGATACCTTATGTAAAGGGTAGGAAAATATTGAAAGCCTGTATCTCACATAATTATTTTCATAATCTATGGAAAACAGTCAAACCTTTCCTTACTTCCTATTTCTATATTTTACTGCCTTTTTCCTTTCAATTCAGACTTCCAAAAGATCTTTCTGTGGTTTTTCCATGGAATCTGTTCTCCTAGAGAAATGAAACACTATTTTTCTTTGGTCTGTTATTCTAAAGTCTTCTTTATGGAAACACATCAAGCGCATGCAAGCTCAAAACTATTAGCTCCAAATCTTTATCAAATTTTATGTCACAAATTCCATAGCACTGTCTTGTCTGCCGGGTGATATATTTGTGCAGATTCTTGGTGATAACCCTTTCTAGGTAAGCATAAAGAACATCTTGTTTGCTCAAAATATAAAAGAATTATAAAGGATTTCTTCAGGCTTGCTCCAAAAGTGCATATGGAAAGTCATATACCACATATCTAAATAATTAAGTCATAAAGCTGAAATCTGTTAAAAGGAAATCCATTCTATTTTAATAATTATACCATTAAAATGATGAAGCAGAAAATGACTTCATACTTTAAATTATGCCTGAAATTTGCAAGTTCTCAAAAATGATACAATTAAATTTGTGAGTCTGAGTTTTCTGTAGATTACTTAATAAAGCTTACATGAATTGGTTCTGTTTACAATTCATATCTAGTTTTTTGCTTTAATAAGTAAATTAACTATTGCACTACAATCAGGATAAAATAGCATTCTGTTTTCATGAAGGTTGTGTTAGGTCATCAGTGTCCATCTCCACATTTTCAGAGTTTTGTTGATTTTCTTTTCCTGGAGTTGTTAGAGAGTAAAGTGGGGTGAACAAGTTTTGCTCTTCAATCTGAATATTTCTTTTTTGGTTATAAATTTTGAAACATGGCATAATGTAGTTCTGTATATTCTGTAGTTGTTCCTTATTTTTAAAATTCATTTTTATTCACTTCCATTTGGAAAAGAAATGTGAGGAGGAAAGCAGAAAACTAGAGGACATTTGGTGACTAAGGGGCACAGTGTGGGGCCCTGCCCAAAGGTGAAAAGCAGGGGTGAGGAAGACTCGTGCTATGTGAATGAATTTTTCTTTATCCCTGGTATTGTCCACATGGAGCCTCTGTGCACAGGAAATTGAGGACTTTGTTGAAATAAGTTAGTCCTCTCTTTGCATGCTTCATACATTGTCAGTGACAATCCTTTTAAACAGAAATGCTTCATTTAGCTTAATATTTAATCAACCAGATCTCTATCAGCCTTAGAACTCAAGCTGGTAGAACTCATATTTCTGCCACTGAAACAAAGCAATAGTATAAAACAGTGAAACAGAATCTCTCCTTATTTGCAAGTGTGAATATAATTTTGTTTCACAATTATCTAAGAAATATATTTTGGCCCATCTTAGGAAAGAAAGCCTTTTAAATAAGGTTTGGCAGAAAAATCAAGGGAAAAAAGAACTAATACCTTCACATTAAAAAGCAAACCTTGGAGATTTTTTATTCAGCACTAGAACAATGGATAAAGATGGCATAAGAAAAATAGGAAGAAGAAGGACTTGGCTGTACATTTAAAGATGTTCATGATATTTTAGATCAGCAGGTAAACATCAGTGATATTTGACATTGAATTTTCTCACTTCGGACATGGAAAGTGGCCTGCAGAATTTCATCACCCTCATAATAGTTGTGCAGTTCATAATTGGGAATTTGAGCAATGGATTTATAGTATTAATAAATGTCATTGACTGGGTCAATAAAAGAAAGCTTTCCTCAGTGGATCAAATTCTCATCATCTTGGCAATTTCCAGAATTGGTGTGATCTGGGAAATATTAGCAAGTTGGCTAAAACCTGTTCATTATTCATTTTCAACTGTGGATAAAGAAAATATAAAAATTGTTTTTTTTATCTGGGCAGTCTTCAATCATTTCAGTCTCTGGTTTGCTACAATCCTCAGTATCTTTTATTTGCTCAAAATAGCCAGTTTGTCCAGTCCTATCTTTCTCTATCTGAAGTGGAGAGTAAAAAATGTGATTCTGACCATACTGCTAGGAACTTTGGTTTTCTTGTTTTTAAATATGATACAAATAAACACACACATTGAAGACTGGAAATATGGACATGAAAGAAACGCAACTTGGAATTCCACAGTGAGTGACCCTGCAAAATTATCAACGTTCATCATATTCAACATTATCATGTTCTCCCTCACACCATTTATTCTGGCCCTGATCTCTTTTCTCCTGCTTATCATCTCCTTATGGAAACACGTCCAGAAGATGAATTGCAAAGGATACAGAGATCCCAGGATGAAGGCCCATGTCAGTGCCCTGAAAATTATGGTTTCTTTTCTCCTCCTCTACACTAGTTACTTTCTGTCCCTTCTCATACCATGGATTTCTCAGATGCCCCAGAGTGACTTGGTCCATGCACTTTCCCTAACTATTGGACTTGTGTATCCTTCAAGCCATTCTCTCATTCTGATTCTGGGAAACTCCAAGTTAAGGCAGGCCATTCTTTTCATGCTGAGACAGCTAAAGTGTGTGATGAAGAATAAAGATCAGAGGGTCACATAAACTGCGTAAACCATCAAGCCAAATTCTTTTCGATGTTCTAGATTTTTTAAAAAGATATATATTTCAAAGATAGTTTGTCTTTCCTCTCAGTTTCTTTCATTGTGAAAACCACTGTAAATTATTCAGGTGAATATCGATAATATATGATACATTTATGATGTGAATTGCTATATAATTGACAATTTAAAGCTTACTACAGGAAATCATTGAAAGACCCCTTGTCTCTTAAAAATATCTACTATAGCAAACATTTGGTTAATTATGAACTTCCAGCCTTTTTTCTGCTTATGGCTCTTCACTTTTAAATGACTCATCAAGAATGGGTTTGAGGTATTTTAATATCTTATATACTTCTAATTACTTGGTGGAAAATTAAGGATAATTAGAGCAGAAATAGAAGAATCTTAGAATTTTGGCTTTTGCTAGGGGAACACTGAGAGGATTAAAAAATTTAACTTCAATAGTTGCAACATAAAACAGTAATTTTCCATTTGGTAATTATACTGGACATATATTCATGAACATTTTAAATAAATGTTATGGAGGTGTAATGTACATATAATAAAATTTTCAGTGCATGCCTCAGTGCGTTAAAGTATAAATTTCTTGTTACCATGTCAATAACCTCTATGATCCATTTTCTCTGTTGCCATCCCATATACTATAGCAACTACTTGTATGGATTTGATAACTTTAATTTGTTTTGTTAGGCATTAGTTTGTTCCTGAATGATATTTGCACTTAAATTCCTGAATACAGTTACATATACATTTTAGAAAACCCTTTTACTGTTTGACGTACATTTTTTTCATGTGCTTTGGTCTTCATGTAACTTCTTTTATGAATTTATCTAATATTTGATTTGGTTCAATGTTTTATGTAGTTTGTTTTTTATTTTTGGTGGGGGGCCATGTGTGTGTGTGTGCGTGTGTGTGTGTGTGTGTGTAGTCTGGATATTTATAATTTATCAAATACAAACTTTCTACAATCCAGTGGCTGGTCATCTTTTTCCTGAAGTATCTTTCAAAGACATAAGGCTATTTTTATTATATCTTTAAATAGTTATACAGGAAGCTTTAGGTTTTATGATTAAGAAGCTGGCTCATTTCAAATAAAATTCCAGTTGCAATGTGAAATTAGGATTGAAGGTTCATTTTAAAAGTTCAGATACCCATTTATTAGTTAGCGTTATTTCTTAAAAATATTACCTTCTCTCATTTCTACTTGACACTGTGTTAAAAACTATTTAATCATAGATGTGTAGATCTGTTTCTGATTTATATATTCTCTTCTTTTGATTTATATATTTACATTGATGTAGATTAAATACTTTTTTCATTACTTGTTCAGCTTTTCTGATTCCTCTGGTCTTACATATACATTTCAGATGTTATCAATCCCCTTAATACAGCCTCCTAAAATATTGATTGGTATTGTACTGAATGTATAATTATGCACTGGAAGTAACCAACCTCTAAACAATATTAAGCATCTCAATACATGAATACATAATATTTTACAATATATTTTGGTCCATTGTAGTTTTAAAGGTAGAATTTTCAGTCATCGTTTGTTAAGTTTTCATATTTCTATGGCTACAATAAATGGTACTTCTAAAAATCCTAGTTTCTAATAGTTTGTTTCTAGTGTACAAAATCACAATTAATTTTTGAGTAACATGTTTTTATTCTCTATGAGTTTGTAATATTGTCTTGTTTTTTTCTAGAAATAGCTGTTGGAGCTCACTTGAGATTTTCTATATATGATTCATGAATACGATGTTTATAAATGTATATTTTATTTCCCCTTTGTCTTCTTTATACCTTTAAATTTTGCATTATTTTTAAGACCAGATACTCTCAGAAATTGTTGAGGAAACACACATTCCTGTTTTGTACTACTTCAGGATAAAGCATCCAGTTTGAAGTCATTAACATGATATTACCTATATAGTTTTCAAAAATGCTTTTAGAGTTTCCATTTATTCCTAGTTTTTCTTAGAACTTTTTTGTTGACTGGGTGATACAATGTCAATTTTTAGTCATCTGTTGAACTTTTGCGAGATTTTCTACTTCATTCTGTGAATATGTTGAACTGCATACATTCACTTTTAATGTTGATCTAGGCTTATATTGCTAAGATAAATTTTATTCAGCCCACATTCTTATTCTCAGTATTTTATCTGGTTTTGTTATCCGATTATATCTAATTCATTGTACTGCATTCCAGAAATCATTAGCTGGAACAGATCTGTTTCCTCTTCTAGTTTATATTTGAAACTTGTTATCAAAAAATCTCTTTCCCTTAGTTAAATTCGACAGTTTTATTGAGGCTCTTCTTTGAGTTGAGCCCTCTAAGGACATTCATTTCTAACAGAGCAAAACTAACACTAATTAGTGTATCCACTGTGGGACTGCTCCATGCTTTCCACGGCAGAGACCCAGCACTTGTTGACCTTTGCTGGGCGTGGGAGCAGGGATAGAAGGCTGGCCCTCCCTTGTTTCTGTGCAGGAATACTTGCTCATAATATCCCTGGGTTAGGACAACACCAGAAAGGAAGTTATATATCTGAGTGTGAGGTTATTTGTTAATCATTTACAGTTTCTTGAACCTTGAATTGGAGGATTGATATGTTTTCGTACTTTACTAGTAAAAATGGGATTTTCTAGACTTTTGATTTCTCGACACAGTGGCCCCTTGTATCCATTGCTTGGAAATTTGTCTCTGTCCCTTTTATTTCTCATCATATCCCCTAAGTCAGTTTGCAGGCTAGCACCTGCAATCCAGACTGCATTTGAGACAGAGGAGGGAGATATGGGTGACTGATGAATAAAATAGCTTGCTAACTCAGAGGTTTTGGACAGTGGCATTCTGTTCTCTTCTCCTACTGCCTGTACAGTGATTATCATTTTCCACCGGTTTCTAAGTTAAACATTGGATATGAAGTAGGTTTTCCTAAACATCTGGCCTTACCTTCATATTTCTCTCAAGCTTCTCCATGACCAAGAGGAAAATGAACACAAACTTGTGAAAATATATAACATAAAAAATAGAGATATATTTCTCTAGAGCTCCAGATCAGGACTAGACTGTGCTTCATATTTAAAAATTGTAGAGTCAGCATAGTTTGGTGAACACTGTGAAAGTAAATTGGGAATACAGCTAATAACCTTGCAAGGACAAAGTTCTATATTCAGGTATAACAGAGGTCAAAGCTTTTAGAAAACAATCTTAAATTTCACATCTGAAACAAAAAGTATACAAGAAATTCCTGCTTTTACTTGCATTAGGAGCACTCAAAACAAGAAGGTCAAGGAAATATACCTATATTCTGCCAATTTGCACTGACCAAGGCTAACTGTAACAGTAACCATTTATTAGTGTTTTCTTCAGAATGATCTTACTGCGCCGGTCTGATTATCACAGTCATCTCACCTTTACAGGTGGGATAACAGAGCTCAGGCTAAGGCTCATCAGGATCCAGGAGCCAGTTAGTCCAGGAATCTGCATTCTTGCTACTGTGCTTTAGTGTTTTCCCACTGTCGATCTGTCATAGAAAGTGGGAAAAATTCTGATGCACAGAATAAACAAGAGTGCTTAGATTGGGATGTTGCCAAGGTGTAACTTTTCCCAAGTTTTAACTGATGAGATGAGAAATATTCTTTTCCTCCAGAAGTGAGATTTTAAAATTTAAATAATAAGCATAATTCCATATACTTCTTATTTCTTGTTTCCATCTTGCTTTCTTAGGAAGATAAATGAATACATTTGTTCTATTACTCTGCAGTCATGAATACTGCTCCTGTGTGTTTCTTTCTGTATCCTCACATGTGCGACTATAGGGAGCATGTTAACATTAACTATCCTTGTAGATGCCTTTTTATTGGAAAGTTTTATGTACATGAGCCAACTTCCCACAAAGAACGTATCATTATGTGATGCAAATGTGTAGCAATAAATGTAAAATCCAGAAAAAAAAAGATTTAATTTATATTATATAGGTAGGTGAGTATAATCATTATGTACTGGGAAATGGACTAACAAAAACTTTTAAAGATTGGAAAAACAAATGCGCTGGAATTTATTTCTTCTAATCTCAATGAATATGTAATTTTAGAAAGCTGAGAGTGAGAGAGATGGCCAAAGAGAGGTCATCAAAACATCAGTCTGCTAAGTCCTTTTCCTGATTCCCATCTTCGCCTAAAAGGATCTCCCACATGCTTCACACAGAGCTTGGGTTACCTTGGAAGATGCTGAGGGCTGAAGGAGGTGCTGTTCTCTGTCCCTGTGGGGAGGTGATTGCAGTCTCAACTCACTGTCGTCTCAAAAATGTCAGAAGATGATGCTTCCTCTGCATTTACAGAGAAATAATTATAGCTTCTTTCAAATGAGATACAAAGCATCATAAATATCCTCTGCAGTTAACGATATACCAAAAGCAGATATGCATACTTTCTTAAATTGGAGATTTAGTTTAAGTGATTAATTTACTTTTCTTCAAGGTGCACATTAAGATTTTCTTCCTTAATAGTGACTCTTTGGTTCCTGTTTAAGGACATCTGTGGCATCATAAAATGTAAATGTATTTTACCATTTCAAAGTACACAGTCACTAAGGTTAAGTCTTGAATATTGCTATGTGAGACAGAATGCATATTTCAAAGAATTAGCACTGCAGTTTCATTCATGTCTTGATAGCATATTTTTGTGGGACTTGGTACCATGTCTCTAAGGAGTGAGGTCCTTTTCATCCTTGTTAGATATGGTGGCACTTAGTAATTGGCTTAAACAATGGGGTAGGTCAAAATGATGTTACTTGACTTTTGAGTATAGATCATATATATGCATGTAATTTAAAATGTTTCCATTAGGACTAAGATATATGCTATGAAGAAACTCTTCAGATGTGGTAGACCTCTACAGTTAGTTTTTATAAAAATTCAATTTGTAACTGTCCTCAAATATTCAGTTTGAATCACATGTTCACAGAGATTTTAATCT